GCCTGGGCACCAAGAATTACCACAGTGCACAGGACCAACCCACACTGCAGGGAAGTGTCCGACTCAAAATGCCAGGTGTGCCCTATGCCAAAACACTAATTTAGTGGGATGTAGCCTGTATTAGTCAGGATTTTTAGTTGCACACAATAGAACCACCTTTAGCTAGTTTAAGTGGAAAAGGAACTTTATAGTAAAGGACAATCAGTGGCTCACAGAATCCCTAGATGGTCCAGACAATCAGACTGGGTGACCAAACAACAGGAAAAATGCTCTATTACAGGGCCAACTGCTCTGGGGGAACCCGCCTGCCACTAATCTCTGCTGGGATGTACTACTTACACAGGGTATGGGATCCCCCAAGTAGCACCTTTGCCACTACTGTTTCTTTGAGAGCTGGTTCCCTCTCCACCATCCTCACCAGGATGGACTGATTACATGCAGGATCACCCTCTTTCTTGATGGAGTCCAGGTCACATGTCTGAACTCCTCTGACAAAGAAGGCTGCTGAGAAGGCATCGGAGCCTCTACCCTGGGCAGCAGGGCTCAGAAGGTAGGAAGAAGTGTTCAAGGGTGTTCAAAAGATGCTGGGCAGTCACTAAGTATGGCAAATGCTCACGGAATCACCAAAGCCCTCGTTACATGCGCCTCCATAAAGAAACTTCCCAAGCACGGTCCTGATAAAAACAGGTTCCAGATTTGTCCTCCAGAATCTTAAAAAGATACCGTTAGTATCTCTCCCCACTGTGGCACATTCATTCTATTTTCTCTACCTTAATTACCACATGAGATATTTTTTTGGATTGGTACGTATGTATCACTTCTGTTTTTTACCTCAGCACTGTAATTCCTATCCAGCTATAAGGCTTTATTTTTTGTCCTTTCACCTCCTACAATTTTATATATCCCACAAGAACATTTAAAAAAAATGATTTTTTAAAATTATGAGTAAGACAGCATTTATGTGGCTAAAAATATAAACATAGAAAGTACAGAGCACTTTGGTTCAAAGACATAGGCATGATTATGTTGTGCTCATGTGGTTTTTGGCTGGAAGTGCGGGGAGCATTCCAAAGAGTTGTACCAATCAGCTACACAGTTACTTAAGAACAAGAGCTCCATCTACCATAGAGCTTAGGTTGACAGGAGTACAAGCAAACTGGTTGGAGAATATAACACATACAGGGCAGTGTCATAGGATAGAGCTTTTCAGAAATAATTTGAACCACTGAAGGGAGAACAACATAACCTTACTAGAAACAATGAACTGATTTCTCAGGTTTATTGTTCCTCTTTTTGATGCTGTAGGAAAACTTCATGCACTTCCAGTAATTGACTAATGACAGTGTATGTAGAGGAATAACTATTGCTGTTTACATTTTTAAATTATCCCAAGTTGTCTAAATTTATCAATTAGATTTACTAGATGCAAATAAGTAGTTTTGAGAATATTACACTAAAGATGCTAGCACCTTCCTTCAGCTCTCAAATTACCTTATAAACAAGGCTTATTATCCCCCCAAATAGTGATCCAGAAAAGAAGTTCTGCAGCTAGTATCAGAAGTTTAAATTTACTGACTCAGAGTGAATTACTCTATACTCATTTTTACTGTGAATGAATTAATCCAAGGGTTTGCCTTGTTTGCATGAGTGCTGCTATAAAATTCATTTAAGGGCTTGAAAACTTTTTTTTAAGTACACTGTACTTATTTTTTATGATTTCTACCTGGAAAAATTAAAATTCAGGAATGCATCTACAATTTGTTAGAAGATAAAATTATTATAGATGTAATTAGAACATGATGACGACAATGGATAATAATAGATTATCCATTTATCAATTTAGGTCTGGAGGTACTCTAAGTTTGTCTTTGATTATATAACGAAATAAATTCTTAATTTGTTATGTAATGTGGTAGCTGGTTTATGCATTTGTGGTCAAGTGCATAGGTGCAAACATTTCTTATTGGTCATATGTCTGAAATGATGTCTAGCATATGAAGCCAAAATTGCTTCAATTACCTCCTTATGGGAACACCTGGCTGCTTGGATGACTGGTTGGAGGCACATTTGCAATTTTGGAGTGAATAGTTTGAATCTTCAGTATACTCTACTTACAAATCTTATATATCTCAAAGATCTATAGTTAGTCTAGAATGAGAAGTAAATTAATACCATAATCTAAAATTCTGTAAATGGGACCAAGTTCAAAGCCAAAAGAATCTTATCCTGCTATTGAAAATACTTTTTGACATCCCTTACAATATTCATAAGATCTGCTATTTTTCCAGTGACTGAAAATGTTGGAATTCAGTTATAAATGTGTGTATGTGCCTACATGAATTTGACCCAACACAAATGAAGCAGAATGTAAAGTCTTCTAGAATTCTAAACCTTCTATTGACAACAGATGCAATTGGGGTGGCCCCATCAAGAAGGCCTCACACATGGAGAGCTACTGGGACAGTGGTATAAGTACAAAGTGCATTGTGGTATAATCACAAAAAGTCTAGGATCCTTGGAAATCACCTGGCCAAACTGTTTCAAATTATAGATTCACAACTAAGGCTCAGAAAAGTGAATGGGCTGGCTCAAGATCACTCATCAGTGGTGGGTCCAAGTCTAGAAGCCCTAATCTACCTCCTCAACCAAACCAATGCTCTTTCACCAGCCATGAAGTGTCAGAAAACCAGGCTACATAATGTACAGTACCAATATAGGACAATGTGCTCTGGTTATGACCCAACAAGCAATTATTCCGTGACTCTGATTAATGGGGAAAAGGTCATTTTGAATACTTCAGACCCAAACTTAGGTTTTTGCAAATTAATGCATATTTTTTTAAATGGAACTATGAAGAAAATTTGTTTTATTGCATACTGTCCATTTATTTTGCAAAGCTGCTTTAATGAAGATTTCATTGACACGGATGAGAATCTCTAATTCCTAAAATAAATGTCTGGGCTTCTTTCTTCAGTTCTATCACATCAGCTGACAGAACTTCAGGGTGGCAAGGGAGCTGGCTTTCCCTTTGTTACACATTCTAAACTTGTGAAATATATTGTACTCAGTGGAGAGAAGTGTTACATTGCAGGAAGAGTGTGGTTGTGAAGCAGAACAGACCCAAGTTGAAATTTAGCCCTATTTTTTATTAGCTGTATAAACAGCCATTTAGCTTACAGCCATTGAACCATTTAGAGCCAGTTTCCTAGTAATCTGTACAACAGTCCTAGTAACTTCCTAATGGGATCACTAAAATGGAATAATGTGCCTAAATCAGCTGGCACACAGCCAGGTATTTAACAAATGGAAGCTATGGTTCTTAATTAAAATAACAGTAAGATATGTAACCTCAGATTGCAAAAAGATACTATTTTAGTCTTTTAAAATGTTTGGAAGAATTGGAATAGCTCCTTGAGGGTAAAGATATTTATAGCTCTATGCTGAGAAGTGCTATTTCTCCTGAGATCCTGTTAGTTTAAATTATGGGATGGTGAAAATAGCCCAGGAACTTGGAGATGGAGCCCTGGGTTGTAGGGCAGGCGCAGCTCCCTGACAGCAGTGTGGCCTTGGACAAGGCAGGCAACCTCCTTGAGTCTGTTTCCTCATTTGAAAAACAAGGCAAACCCCAAGATATCTTTCCTATCTTGAGGGTTTTCTTAAGGAAGTGGTCTACAACGAGAAGACCTGTGTCACTGAAAGGGATTTCACAGTGAGCACCTCCCACATCTTTGCATCTGGATCAACATCTTTTATTTAATCTTTGCTACTGATGTCACTTTAGTGATACATTATTTTTTTGATAGCATTTTACGAGATGCTCTTCAGATCTTTGCATTCAATGTTTTGTTATTAATTCTCTGTGAAGTTGACTGACTTTAAGTGATTTAAAAGTTTGAAGGTGAAGGTGCTCTGGCAGCTGTGCTATCATAACATGAAGATAAGAATATCAAGGTGACGAAACCCTGAAACTGTCAGAGCACGTGTTTGTGTCTTCATTATACCAACACAGATCCAACAACTTCCAAGAGTGACACAGAAAGAGAGGAAAGGCAACAAGGGAAAACAATATGTTTATTAAGAGGCGTGAAAATGCATAAACTCATTTATAAATAAATGTAGTATAATTTACCAAGTGAAAAAATAGCTTAAATCCATGAGCAAATTGGATTTTATATTTGAAATGACTGTATATTTGATCTCCAATAATTCCCCCCCCCCAATCATGATCTCTCAGTAGCAGCAATTTTACAATGACTATGGAAAATGCTGTTACCAATGATTATAATATGAGGGGAAGTTTTTCAAGAATTTTCTTTAAAAATGAACCAGTGCAAACAAACTCAGATTATAAGGGATACACTAAGACCTGGGTCTCATCTACAGAAAAGTAAAAAATAAAAATCCTAAACATTTGTTCATTAAGAAATGAAAAAGTAAACTACATTTGATCATTGAAAAATAATACATATCAATATTATAAAACATTCTTAACCAATAATTGTAGTAATTACATTTATAAATGTTCATTCAAGTACTAATGTCCAATAAACATTCATATTCCCATGAAAAGTACACTAGATGAAGACACATGTGGACAATGCTTCCTTTGATTTAGTAACAACAAAAATCATGTCCACAGGAGGCAAATGACCCTTAAAATACTTACCTCCCACATCTTTGCATCTGGATCAACATCTTTTATTTAATCTTTGCTACTGATGTCACTTTAGTGATACATTATTTTTTTGATAGCATTTTACGAGATGCTCTTCAGATCTTTGCATTCAATGTTTTGTTATTAATTCTCTGTGAAGTTGACTGACTTTAAGTGATTTAAAAGTTTGAAGGTGAAGGTGCTCTGGCAGCTGTGCTATCATAACATGAAGATAAGAATATCAAGGTGACGAAACCCTGAAACTGTCAGAGCACGTGTTTGTGTCTTCATTATACCAACACAGATCCAACAACTTCCAAGAGTGACACAGAAAGAGAGGAAAGGCAACAAGGGAAAACAATATGTTTATTAAGAGGCGTGAAAATGCATAAACTCATTTATAAATAAATGTAGTATAATTTACCAAGTGAAAAAATAGCTTAAATCCATGAGCAAATTGGATTTTATATTTGAAATGACTGTATATTTGATCTCCAATAATTCCCCCCCCCCAATCATGATCTCTCAGTAGCAGCAATTTTACAATGACTATGGAAAATGCTGTTACCAATGATTATAATATGAGGGGAAGTTTTTCAAGAATTTTCTTTAAAAATGAACCAGTGCAAACAAACTCAGATTATAAGGGATACACTAAGACCTGGGTCTCATCTACAGAAAAGTAAAAAATAAAAATCCTAAACATTTGTTCATTAAGAAATGAAAAAGTAAACTACATTTGATCATTGAAAAATAATACATATCAATATTATAAAACATTCTTAACCAATAATTGTAGTAATTACATTTATAAATGTTCATTCAAGTACTAATGTCCAATAAACATTCATATTCCCATGAAAAGTACACTAGATGAAGACACATGTGGACAATGCTTCCTTTGATTTAGTAACAACAAAAATCATGTCCACAGGAGGCAAATGACCCTTAAAATACTGCATCTTTTGGTCTGTAAATGATTTTTTTACAGTCTGCATATTTTATCTGTGAGGAAGGACCAAAGAAATATCTCACAACAGCTAATTAGGAAACCCTTTCTATAAAATAACTTTCAATATTACAGAAACAAACATTCTAAAACACAAATTTAGCCTAAAAAAATAACCAGGCAGAATCAGTTTTCCTTGGCAAGAAATTGCTAATTCCTTACCAAATGCTGGTCTCCTGTGGTAGAGACACTAGCAAAACACTTCTTTGGTATTTACCAAAGAGCTATTTAATAAGTCAAAAGATTGCATAAACTGTGGTACCATGATAGCAATGTAGAGCTTATATCAAAGCTGCACTGAAATCAATATTGTTTCCTTGATTACTGTTGTTAATGGATCTTCCTTCAAAAAGCTCCCTCCTAATTTTGGCCTGAATCTCAGGCTTTAATAAAAGTTCCTTTATCTGTTTCACTTTGGACTTCAGACCCATCCTTTCTCGATGCAAAGCTTCATTAATTAAGTCTCGGATTCCAATAGGTTTCTTGCCTATGGAAAAAAATTACATAATACATTTTACGTACAAATGCCAATAGAAAACATTAAATATGGCACACACTGACTATCAAAAAAGGGTTAAAAAGAAACCTTTAAAATGTCCATGTTTTATAGAAAAGGTTGCATTTTGCCAAAAATATACCATTTACATGAAACAAATTTACTATAAATAAAGATCAGTGCATAGCAACAGTATATGTAGGACAAACATGAAACATTATGGACTAACTGTATGGATAATAATTTCAACAGTGATTATTTAAAACTCAGTACTTGTTAGCTGTGTATGTGTTTTGACCTCAGTCAAAGTAGTCAAATGCTCTATAAGCAGTATAAATGGCAGTATTCCATTTATGGAAAAACCCTTTCCACAGCCATTGAGTCCATGAGGCATAACGCAAAGTCCCCTCTCCCTTGGCCATGGCTGAGGACAAGTGAAACTTGGGCCATTCTTCTTTCATAAATTAATCTCCTCTGCTAGTCCCAGCGCTCCATTTCTCTTCTGTTGTATTTCAGAAATGCAAACACATCGATCATGAAAATATTAAGCAATCTCCACAGACTGGACAAGAGACAGTAAACAGCACAATGCAAATTAGTCCACTGATCAGCAGAGGGGGGCAGGGAGGCTTCTCACAGAGCAGTGGGGGCCTGCCTGCATTCAGGTCTTATTTCCTGTTGTCACTGTCAGTGCCATTCCTATCAGCCTCGTCAGTTTTCACAGAGCTCCCATCCCCTGGCTTGTTTTTGTTCTGTGTTTCTTCCAGATATTGCTGGACAGCCTTGAGCACTGCGTTCTCCACCAGCCTCTTACTGAGCCTTACCAGCTCAGCATCATCAGGCTCACCTCCATTCTTATCACCTACATTCCACAACAGAGAAGAGAGGTCACTGAGGTCATATCGCCATAGAAACTCAGCATGCAGGGCTCGGCTAGTTCAGTTAGTTAAAAAGAGCAAGTGTCCTTCAATCTGGTAAACTGGATCTATAAATCCAAGAATACTGGCTTGACTTTTCATTTGGTATTTGCAAGAGAAGGAGACTATTCCTGAAGACTTCAAGGTTGAAAAAGCAGTTCATCAGCCCCAATCTAACAATACTCTGCTTAGAAGTTTCCCATTTCTACATGGAATTTTTCTTCTTTTCTCAACCAAGGCTACTTGCTACTATTAAAGTACACATGCATTCACCAACAATCTGTGTCTGATAAAACCAAATTTCAGATGATCAAGATTTCCCTATCACCTAACTACTTAGGATCACTAATTTTATAATGTTTGGTCTATAGGCTGGTTATTAATAAACTCTCAGCAATCCCACGAAGACAAAGGCAGTTAATATTGCTAGGAACTGGTTTAAAATAAGCTTGTAAAACTAATATTCTTTTTAATTTCAGTGCTATTACTATAGTTTAAGAAATAGGAAACTCTTCAAGGAAGAGTTAGGATTATGATAGTAAACTACTAGATGTTTAATATTTTATGGCATTTTGCTTTCCTGCTAGTGATGATTAAGGTTTAATGATTCTATCTTTCATTTTACTGTAAAAGGCTGGCTCTCATCTATTCTCATGCTACACATTTCTTATTCACTCTCCTTGTCTCTCTTAACTGGGGAAAAGAACAAAGGAGTTCATGTGTCATGTCTACTTAGTCCCTCATTTATTCCATTAGGCTGTGGATCTGGGAAGATTGGAGGCAAGGGCATATGAGTATCTAAACATATTAATAGATGATTACAGATATTGAGTGATGAACAAAAATACAATAATAGTTGGGGACTTCAATATTCTACTTTTAACAATGGATAGACCATCCAGAGGAAAATATCGATAAGGAAACACTGGGTTTGAACTATGCTTTAGACTATGGAGAACATTCCATCCAACAGCACCAGAAACACATTCTTCTTAAGCACACACGGAACATTTTCCAGGAAAGATCATATGTTAGTTTATAAAAAAGTTCAGAACACATTTTAAAAGACTACAATTATACCAAGTATCTTTGCTGACCACAGTGATATGAAACTAGACATCAATTATAAAAGGAAAACTGGGAAACTCAGAAGTGGAAATTAAAATATTTTTAATTTTTTAATTTGAATTAACATTCTTGAATAACCAATGAGTCCAAGATGAAATCAAAAAGGAAATCAAAAGATATCTTGAAACAAATGAAAATGGAAACACACATACCAAAACTTATGGGATGCAGCAAAAGCAGTGCTAAGAGAGAAGTTTATAGCAATAAATGCCCACATTAAGAGAAAGAAAAAAAAGAACAGGGGAAGATCTGAAGTAAACAACTTAACTTTACATCTCAAGAAACTAAGAAATATAAACAAACTGAGCCCAAAGGTAGCAGAAGGAAGGAGATTGTAAGATCAAAGCAGAAATAAATGAAAGAAAAATAGAAAAGATCAATAAAACTAAGAGTTGGTTTTTTGAAAAGATAGAACAAAATTGACAAACCTTTAGCTAGCTTTACTAAGAAAAAAAGCCTCACATAAATAAAATTCTAAATGAAAGGGGAGACATTACCACAGATACCACATAAATACAAATGAAGAAATGAGTAAATTCCTAGACACACACAACCTTCCAAGTTTGAATCATGAATAAATAGAAAAACTGGACAGGCCAATAATAAATAAGACTGAAGAAGTATCAAAAACTTCCCAAAAAAGAAAATCCCAAGACAAGATGGTTTCACCTGTGAATTTTACCAAATATTCAGATAATGATTAACACAAATTCTTCTCAAACTCTACCAAAAAACTGAAGACAACACAATCAAACTCATTTTAAAAGGTCAGCATTAACCTGATACCAAGGCCAGATAATGATACTACAAGGTCCCAAGTCAATACCCTGATGAATTTAGATGCAAAAATTCTCAACAAAATGCTAGCAAACCAAATTCAACTGCACATTAAAAGGATCATAAACCATAATCAAGTGAGATTTATCCCTGGGATGCAAGACAGTTCAACATCTGCAAATCAATCAATGTGGGACACCAAGTTAACAAATGAAGGGTAAAGATTATATGATCATTGCAATAGAAAAAGCATTTAACAAATTCAACCATCTTTCATGATAAAAACTCTCAACAAACTGGGTATAGAAGGAACATACTTCAACATAATAAAGGCCATATATGACAAACCCATAGCTCACACACTCAATGTTGAAAGGTTGAAAGCCTTCCCTCTAAAATCATGGACAAGACAAGGGTGCCCACTCTCACCACTCCTATTCAACATAGTGAAGGAAGTTCTACCAAGAGCAATTAGGCAAGAAAAAGAAATAAAAGGCATCCAAATCAAAAAGGAAAAAGTAAACATGTCTCTGTTTGCTGATCTCATGTATAGAAAATCCTAAAGATTCCACCAGAAAACTATTGAACATAATAAACAAATTCAGTAAGGTTTCAAGATATAAAATCAACATACAAAAATCAGTTGCATTTCTCTATACTAACAATGAACTATCTGAAAAAGAAATGGAAAAAGAATCCCATTTACAATAGCACCAAAAACAATAAAATTCAGTTATAAATTTAAACAAGGAAGTGAAAGATCTGCATACTAAAATCTACAAGACACTGATGAAAGACTGAAGACAAAACATAAATGGAAAGACATCCCATGCTCATGAATCAAAGTTTTCACGAATCAAAATTTAATATTGTTAAAATGCCCCACTACCTCAAGCAATTCATATAGAACTAACAAAAGATCCCCCAAATAGCCAGAGCAATCTTGAGAGAGAACAAAACTGAAACCATCATACATCTTCACTTCAAACTATATTACAAAGCTATAGTAATCCAAACAGTATCGTATGTGAAGAAAGAGACACATAGACCAATAGAGCAGCATTAAGAGCCCAGAGATAAATTCACACATATGGTCAACTAATACAGGACAGTGGAGCCCAGAATACACAATGGGGGAGAGATGGTCTCTTCAAAAAAATGGTGCTGGGAAAAACTGGATATCCATATACAAAAGAATGAAACTATACCCTTATCTTAACATCTCACAAAGATTAATGTTCAATGGAATAAGGACTTAAATATAAGAAATGAAAACACAAAATTCCTAGAATAAAACAGGAAAAAAGCTCCTTGACATTGGTCTTAACAATGTTTTTGGATATGATACCAAAAGAAAAAGCAACAAAAGCAAAAATCAACACATGGGGACTACATCACACTAAAAAGCTTCTGTACAACAAAAGAAACCATCAACAAAATAAAAAGGCAATCTACAGAATGGAAGAAAATATTTGCAAATCATGTATCTAATACTGGGTTAATATTCAAAATATGCAAGGAACTCTTAAAACTCAGTAACAAAAATGCAAACAACTTGATTAAAAAATGGGCAGAGGACTTGAATAGAAATTTTTCCAGAGAAGACATACAAATGGCCATCAAGTACATGAAAAAGGTGCTCAAAAACACTAATCATAAGGAAAATGCAAATCAAAACCACAATGAAGTATCACACTTGTCATAATGGTTATTATCAAAAAACAAAGAAAACAAAAATGAGATAACAAATACTGTCAAGAATGTGGAGGAAAAGAAAGGAATCCTCATGTACATGTGAATTGATGCAGCTACTATGGAAAACAGTAGAGTTCCTCAAAAAATTAAAAGTAGAATTACCATATGATCCAGTACTCCCATTTCTGGGTATAATATGTAAGGATGAAACACTATCTTGAAGAGATATCTGTGTTCTCATGTTCTTTGCCACACATTTCATAGCAGCCAAGACATGGAAATAACCTAAGTATCCATCAGTAGATGAATGGATAAAGAAAATATGGTACATATACACAATGGAATATTATTCAGCCATAAAAAAAGAAGAAATCCTGTCATTTGTGACAATATAGATGGACATAAGGGGCATTATGCTAAGTGAAATTTAAGTCAGACAAATACTGTATGATCTCCTTTATATGTGGAATCTAA